CACCCAATCTGTTTTCTCTTGCATTTTTCCCAGATCAATGTTATATTTGTTTGCAATTCATTCATCAGCCAGTATTGTATTTTAATCTAATTTGGTAAAAATCTAACTTACTCTAAAAATCTATTGAAAATTAAATTATAATATATTACAGTGTTGGCGAACCTTTTAGAGACCGAGTGCCCCAAAACCGCCCATCGCCGCCGCTCCGCCTCCCGCCCTGCCTGCTCTGCCCCCGTCCAGCCCACCCACAGGGCCACGCACCGTCTCCATGGCCCGCCACAGATTGCCCAGGCTGTCCTGCAGCACCATGGCAGCCACGCCCTCTGCCCACACCCCGCAGCATCATCTGGACACTATGGGGCGCGAGGGCGGAGTCTTGTCCCTGCTTCCCGGCTATGTCCTTGGCTGCACTGCTCCGTCGGGCCGTGCCCAGGGGCGACTCTGCTCCAGGGGGGCTGCTAGTGAGGACGGGGCCACAGGGGGAGGCGGGGCTGGGATGACGGTGCACGTGCCCACAGAGAGGGCTCCAAGTGTCATAGGCACACGTGTCATAGGTTCGCCACCACTGATATATTACAATAGTTTTTTTCCCTGGCGGATGAGATTTCAGATATCCAGAAGCTGAGAACAGAAGCCTGTAAATTCAGGCTTTAAGAACAGCATGAAACTCAAAAACATTTGAGCTTGTTACCAAATATTAGTTATTACAACAGAAGAAAGGGAAAATTATTGAATAGATATGAGAATATAATTCCCTATACTTAAGTTTAATTACATATAAATGCAATCATATCACATTTGGTTTTTGTCCTGGCACTGATTATTAGTTTTAGTGTATGGTCTCTATTGTAGATAAATTCAGGGTCTGGTTAATGCCAACAGTGTCCTAGAACAGCCTCTTTTAGGATTTGTAGAATGTTCTGATAATTTTGAGATGAAGTGATTAGATTAGAAAAATTGTAGGGTATTTTAAATGCTATCCCACAATAACAGGTTTTAAAACTTTAATAGTTCTATTCTATGATCTAAAACCTCAAACAAGAAACTTGTGCTTTTTGTTATACTGCAAAATGTCTTAAGCTTTAGCACAAACTTATTTCTTTCCTAAATAATATCTACCAGTGCATACTCTTTTTTTCGGCCACCATATACATCATTTGTATTTTCTAAATTGTTCTTTTATTAACCTTTCAAAGACTTTGAAAAAATAAGCTCTTTATAATCCATTTGAGTTTCTTTAGTCATCTGGAGTTGCACCTTAATTTGACTATATCACTGATGATCCAATTCCAGATTATCCTGTATTGTACAATTACCTGAGTCTTATTTCCTTCCATTGTGATAACTATTCATTTATTCTTACACTGCTTTCCCTTTTAAAATTGATTATTAATCCATATGATAAGCACTTTTCTATGATTACTTATACAGAATTTTGCCTGAGAGATTTTACAAAACACTTCATTTATCTTTTGAAAAATTAGAGTCAAAAATTTGTTTCATTCTAAGAAACATTCCTATTTCCTTTACATCCAGCTCTGTTTTAAGACAATCTTTTCATTGTCATAAATGATCACACAAGTAAGCAAAAAACTGAAAATACCTGGATGACTATCTGGCCACTTAGCAAATCCACCAACAAGGCGATCTTGGGTTGATAAAATGTAATTTCTGTTTTTTTCATAGTTTGTATACTGAAATATTTTCAGAAGCTGAAATAAAAATTTATCATACAATAAAGCAATTTCTCATGAGGAACATTCAAAGCAATACAATAAAGCAATTACAATAAAGCAATTTCTCATGAGGAACATTCAAAGCTAAATGATGATATAACATTTATATTAAATGCTAAACTGACAGCCATAAACTAATAAATATTACTCAAAAATCAGCTACAAGTTTTCCCCTTTCTTATAATAATAATAATAAAGTTGGAAAGGACCTTGGAAATCATTTAGTCCAACCCCCTGCTAAGGCAGGAAACCCTATACCATTTCAGACAAATGGCTGTCCAGTCTCTTCTTAAAAACTTCCAGTGTTGGAGCATTCACAGCTCTGGAGGCAGGTTGTTCCATCGATTAATTGTTCTGTCAGGAAATTTCTCCTTAGTTCTAGGTTGCCTCTCTCTTTGATTAGTTTCCATCCATTGCTTCTTGTCCTGCCTTCAGGTCCTTTGGAGAATAGCTTGACTCCCTCTTCTTTGTGGCAGCCCCTGAGATATTGGAACACTGCTATCATGTCACCCCTCGTCCTTCTCTTCATTAAACTAGACATACCCAATTCCAGCAGCCTTTACTTATATGCTTTGGCCTCCAGTCCCCTAATCATCTTTGTTGCTCTTCTCTGTACTCTTTCTAGAGTCTCAACATCTTTTTTACATCATGGTGACCAAAACTGGATGCAGTATTCCAAGTGTGGCCTTACCAAGGCATTGTAAAGTGGTATTAACACTTCACGTGATCTTGATTCTATCCCTCTGTTAACGCAGCCTAGCACTGTGTTGGCTTTTTTGGCAGCTGCAGCACACTGCTGGCTAATATTTAAGTGATTGTCCACTAGGACTCCCAAGATCACTCTCACAGTTACTACTATTGAGCAAGGTACCACCTATACTATACCTGTGTATTTGGTTTTTCTTGCCTAAATGTAGAACCTTACTTTTTTCACCACCAGCGCTCAGTGTTCAAGTCTGTCAAGATCCTTCTGTATCTTAAGCCTATCTTCTGGAGTGTTGGCTATTCTTGCCAGCTTGGTGTTGTCTGCAAATTTGATGAGTTCCCCATCTATCCCCTCATCAAAATCATTGATGAAGATGTTGAAGAGCACTGGGCCCAGAACAGAGCCCGGGGGCACTCCACTACACACTTCCCTCCTTCTTCCACTTCCCTCCTTTTTTCACTTCCCTTCTTCCTGCTCATTCATACATTTTAATCAGAAATTTTAGTCATCAAGGCTGATTAAAAACTTAGAAGCTTGTATACTGTTGGCACAATAAAGCTACTAGTATAGAATAAGCAGACTATAGATTCTAAAGTCTTATTTGTACTTTTAAATTACCTTAAGAGTCGCTCCTACCCAAAATGAATAACAGGTATCTACAGGCTTGTTGGGTCTTCCTTGATAACCATTCTGTTGCCTCATAATACACCATCTCCTTATTCTGTTCAGTTCCTTTTCAGAGAAGACTTCTTCAAGTTTACCCATCAGGCACAATGATGCAATACCACAAAAAGTAGAGCCACCTATAACATGGGGGATACTCTCTTCAATATGTTTACAGTCTTTATGGAATTACTAATAAGATTTAATTTACATGAACTATCATCTACTATTAATCTTGTCAAGCAACTACTGACACTAATAGCTTTTTCCTCCATGAATTTATTTAATCTTTTAAGGTAGCCTCCTACATGTTGTAACTGTTAATAGCCTCCAGATGACTTTAATTGGTTCTAATTCATCCAACTTTGAAAACATAGCTGTCATTTCACAATGTATATGGAAGCAAAAACTGCACATAGTTGTAGCAAGCATGACACTGAAGAAACTGCAATCCCAATATGGGAGAAGCCAGCTGTTCTCAATGAAAAATTAGGGTTTTTTCCCCATTTTTCATAATAATCCTCAAAACAGAATTCGGAGCTTTCACATTTTACCAGCACCGGGGCAGAAGTCAAGCTCAATCAGATTCCCACAACCACTTTTTAAAAAATGTTTAGACCAAAAAATTACTTACCATGCGATTCAAGTTCTGCTCCTTGGGCAAGACCATTATCATATGACTGAAAAAACAAAAATAAATTGGCAAAGTAATTTTTTAATAGACAGTCCTTTTTTAATGTTGCATCAGGCAAATTGAACTTTAATTCTAAAGGAAAAACAAAGATCTAACTTTTTAAGGGCAATCACTAGAGGAAAGATAGAAACATTAACTTTGTGAAAGATTGGATTTTGTTTTAAAATCTAGGAATTAAAGTAACTTTCTGCTTGGATTTAAATATCTATAAGAATAACTCTATTATAGAAAAATGCTTTCTCGTCCCATCTTCCCAGTGTATTCACCTGTCTCATATAGTTTATCTGAGATTCAGGATTCCTCCAGTGGAATCCTCCACCCTGGCACAGGTACAAGGAGCAGCAGCAGCAGTAGTAGTAGTATACTAGTATGTGAGTGTATACTAGAATGCAGTGAGTGAATGCAGAAACTTGAGGGAGAGAGATTCCACACAAACTGTGGAATTTTTCAGCAAATTATTTAGATTCAAGCCAATAAAAATATTACCTTAAAATAATATTTGTCTGGACAAAATAACAACTGATTACCCAGCTCTATGTATTTCAGCAGCATGCCAATTTGTATTGCCTACACAAACTGATATTAAATACTAACAGGCCTTATTCTTTTGCACAGTAACATAAGATATGGTGAAACAAACAAACATCTTTGTGTAGTAGTTCTCTAACAATGACATCTATTTTGCCTTGTATAAAGAGCCTTTATTCAAATAAATAAAGAGTCAGTGTAGTGGTTAAAGTGCCAGACTAGAAACCAGGAGATCATGAATGCTAGTCTTCCCTTAGACAGCCTGCCTCGTTTCGGCCTATCCAAATCTCAGGGTTATTTTTCTGGAAAATAGGAGTAGGGGACATTACATACACCAAATAAAGATGGAATATAAGTATGATAAATAAATATGTTATTCATAACCTAGAAATCAATATCAATGATAATCATTTGCCTCAATTATATATTTGCTTTCCAATGTAATGAAAAACATATAAACTGTAAAAGCAGTTTTATATTGTATAAATCTTAAATTCCAAATTGGGATTCACAATATTAGACCTTGTATGGAAAGACAACTACTTGAAATGAATTCAAATTAAGTTCAGTATCTTTATTTAATAAGCACTTTATATTAAATTGAATTAAATAATTTCAGGCATTTATTTCTGCCTATCAGTTAAAATGCTGACTCCTTTATCCTGTGTTTTAATCTTAATTAAGAAAAAACGCAGAAGTCCTATCAGATGCTCAACATCATTATTTTGAAGCATACTTCATTTTCTAAGTGCCAAATCAACTGTACAATTTCCTTATTCTCCAGGGTAACAGTCTAGAACACGGGTAGGCAACCTTGGCTCTTTTATGATAGCTGACTCAGGAATTCTGGGAATTGAAGTCCACAAGTCATAAAAGAGCCAAGGTTGCCTACCCCTGGCTAGAAATATTTTAGTTATTCAAAGTTTTCCCCAAATCATATCAGAATTAAAAATAAGCATTCTAGATTCTTCACTATTCACTAAATTATTTTTTTTATTGAAGGAATTCATGAGAAAGCTAGAGCTAACAACTTGAGAAGTAAGAAACCTGGGACTGAATCATTAGGTAAACATAGTGCCAATGCTATCCATAGCCCTATCTGAGAAAAAAACTGCATACAGTCTATTACAACAAAAGAACAGAAATATTAAGAAGAATTTAATCCTGGAGGGACACATATACAGTGAGATTTTTTAGACTCTTTATCATCATTATTATAACTATTTTGTATCTGCAATAAATCTTATCTATCAGAGCCCTGTCTTTCCATGAAAGCTCCTGATTGCAGACTGAAAAATCTAGAGAGATGTTGTAAACCAGACATTTAAAAATATTACAACCTCAACTTTCACAAAAGCTAAATATTACAATTTTTACATAGTAGACAATAGTATCTACTATTGTAGATATTACAATATATCTATAGCATGCATGTAGAATATACTGTCCAAAACAGAATTTAAATTTATGAATTCTGTTAATCACTCTAAAAAACTATGCTATTTTTAACATCATTTTTTTGTAAAAGGATGTTAAATTTAAACATCATTTAAATTTAAATTAAAAATTTAAAAATTAAAAGTGAAACTCTCAATAGTCACTAAAAAGCAGATGCTAGTTTCTCCAAAAGAAGTTACTAAGATTTGAGGTAAAAAGGATAGGAAGTCTATATATTTTGCTAGTAATGGAAGAATACACATTGTAGCATCCCTATGAATCCTATATCACTATATATAGTTGTTTGGTGGTATATGTATTACGGTTCGTCACAAAGTCAGTCAGATGTTTAGTCTTGGATTTGGCATTTTTGTCCATCTATTCTACTGAGTCCTCAAAGATCTGGGATAGGCAGATGTTGATGAATAATATTAAAAGTATTGTCGCAGATTGTAAGCTGCCTTTTGCAACTGTCTGATAGTGATTTTGTCAATGCCAATGGTATTCAAGTGGTGCTTCAGGTGTTTTGGAATTGCATCCAAAGCACTTTTTACCACTGGTACTATTTTTGCTTTCTTTTGCCACCATCATTTTATTTGCAGATTTTTACATTTTGTGATTTTCTCTTCCATTTTGCTGTGTCCAGCTATTTTAATGTCCACTATCCAGACTTTTTTGTCTTTCTTATCAACAATTATTAATGTGGGATATTGTGTGGCAGTTATATTATTATTTATGGTTAAACTAAAGACTACTCATTCAACTATTCATTCAAGAAATAGCTAAATATTATTTCTATGATATAATTTGGATTCAGTAATTATATTCAATAATATAATTTGGGGGAAAAGACATATTGCAATAAATCAGGGATGCTCATAAGAAGCAATATAATGGTTTTTTAAGTACAGGATACAAGCAACATTTTAATCAAGTGACACTTGGCAAAACTTACCATGCTTCTTCTAATATAGTCAATGGCTTTCTTTGTATCCATTCCTGACCAACTATTGAGCATGTAGCATATACAAGCAGCACAGTATACAAATCTCATGTCATTTTCACTTCCTTCAAGGACTGCACAAAAACTACAAAAAAAAATAGTTATGTAACAGTCATGATATGGTTTAACTATATATTTTTGTTTCCAAGACAAAGCACAATGGTCTTCCTTCAATGATCAGGTTTATTAATGTCAATTATCAATATCTATCTATCTATCTATCTATCTATCTATCTATCTATCTATCTATCTATCTATCTATCTATCTATCTATCTATCTATCTATCTATAATTTTTCCTTGAGTCAAGGTCAACTATAAATCCAATTTAAGCAGATTAAGTTTTTCAGAAAATAGAGAATATTTTCTGTTATGGAAATATAATAATTCAAGCACCCATTTAAAGATCTAAACCTACACTTTTATTTTTAGTATGCATGCCCACATGATTAGTTTTTGCTTTTGCTTCCTTATTTTTACAGTGTTCATGTGCAAGTTGATACAGAAGTATTGTGTAAAAGAAGACATATGACACTAAAGAGCTCAATTGCCAATTACAATAGCAGGAGAAATAATTGATATTAAAGATGCACAATGGAATTTCCAACTCTTCTCTGCATGAAATATTGTGAAGCATCCCTTTTCAAGTGAGAATCAGGCATTTGAAAGACATATTGGACCACTTTGAGTAATTTCAAAATGTTCCAAGGATAAAGCAGAGCACTTCTTGTTCTTGTGTTTCAAGGTTAAAAGGGTTTCTAAAATATTTTGAGGCAGCCACACAACAGTTGCAGACACAAAATGAGATTTTTCCACATTCCTATTTGATCATCATATTGCAAAGCTGTATAATACAATGGAATTATTTAAGACAGTTATAATTAACGCTGTAGGTCATAGAAGAAGATATAAGATACCACTACTCCTACGTATAGCTACAAATATTTCAACTTTTTGACTCAACATTTTATATTCTATTTCTGTAAATGCAATTTTTATTAACTTAGATTGAACACATGTCCAATTTCTCATTCACCAGCTACCTGATGACATAAAGAAGACAGCCCTGATATACCCTTCCAATTTTATCATTTCAAGGCAAGAACATAGGTTTCCCTCGTTCCTGAGCTGTGCTGTGTAAAATGAGGAAGGGCTAATAAAGACTATTCTACTAACTGGAAGGTCATGGTCTCCAGCTGCTTCTCTGAAAATATAACAACAGAGGCATGGAACAGGAAGATACTTTTTCTTTATATGCCTAGCTGCCCAATCCAGATTCAGCTTGACCAACTGCTATACTATACTAGTGTGCATAATTTTTTCATTTTTTTCTTTTCTAAATATATTTTACTGTACCTCCCATCTTCCAGCTGTAGTGCTCTGAGTCCTGCCAAGCAGGCTTCTTTATTTACTCGGCTTAAATCATCGCCAAGAATAATTAAGCAGCAAAGGCCAGTGTAAGTCATTGCTATGTGCCCACTGTCATATGGATGAGAAATACCAGGCCCCTGAAACAAGAGAAAATTCAAGTTTGTTTACCAAACAAAATTGTAATTACATATACATAAATATAAGCATTTATTTTACAGATAATATCCCTGAGCTTTTTATTGTATTTCAGGAAGGATCTAGTCAGGAATACTGGCTTGAAAAGCTATATATAAATGTCCACCTCTACATGACCCACACATATCAGCAACTGTGCAAGCATAGGAAGAAGCTATTTTAAGGCTACATAGATTTATGATACCAAACAGCTTTTGCAGAGACTTTTTCTCAATTGGTGACTGTTTTTAATCTCAACTTACCTCTGTAGGACAGATCTCCAACAATATAGCATTTGATAGAAAATAACATATTGATACTATAAAAATACCATATTTATCATTTCAGGCAATTTTCCTAGCAAGAAGTTAAAGAAGCAGAAGCTTCACTTTTCAAATAGAAAGTTATAAACATGGTATCAACAACATCCGTTCTAGGATCTTTATTAAATTATTCATAAATAAATTATTATTAGGATGAACCATGGCATGGCAAATCTATTCAAACTGGGAGGACAGCAATTAAAAAGTAAATGTAATAAAAGAGTTATAGTAAAAGTGGAGCAATTCTACTTGAAGAGATTCAGAAACTGAAAAGATTATTGGACAGCTGGCAAGTCTGTTAATTCAGGTGATAAACTGAGACAATTGAAACCTGGGAAAGTTAAACATCAAAGCACCCATCAAAAGGAAGGGTTTCCCCTCCTGTATTGGTTTTCAGAATGGTGTATCCAGGCCACTTTCATTTAAGAGAAATGCAGGTATTATATTATGACATATCTTCATGTATTCTACAGGTATATGACTTTCAACCGTTTTGGGGGTGGGGAGAATTTCTTGGCTTGGAAATGTTATCTGTTTCTATTTGAGAAATTTTAATAGACCAACATCTGACAATCCCCAGTAAGGATGAAAATAGTAATGTGGTGCTTAATAGTTAATGTAATTGAAAACCCACCCAAAATTGCATCTTGCAGTTTGTCTTTATCCAAGGTTGGCCAATAGTTAATAAAAAAAAAAAACCACTTTGTTTGAAGGTTTTGGATTTTAGAGCAAGCATAAACCAGAATTTCTTTGAACTATGATTTGCTTGCTAAATACCTAAATAATCATATCAGAGAGTAAAGGAAAAGCAAATTCATTTTCCAAAGTATGGTCTGAATTATTCTATGGTAGACTGGAAAAAATGGTTCATTATTTGATTTAAGATATAAAAAATATCTGCATTAACTTAAAGCTTTTATAAAGATACTGTATCTGTAAATAATTATATTTCAGTCTCTAAATAAAAATATTTTCCTACATTTTTAGAAAATATTTCAGCATTTTTACTTTATATCTTTCTAATTTCTACCCATAAAGCACTATGTTTAGATTTTACACCTTATTTCCATTTTAACTTCTAAGATGTCAGTTAAAACACATCATTCACTAACCTTAGATGGATTGAAAGGGATTCCTAGATATGAAGAACCACGGAAGCCACAGTGATGCATGTTTGTTCCTTGAGAGGAAAAATAAAACTTGTTATTTTGCATAGGAGAGGTCTCTTAAAAACTGCTAGCACCTGGTACTAAAAAAAAAATCAGCTGAAATTTAAAGACCTAGTGTAGCTTACCACTAGAGATATTTTTCAACCAATGATAACAACTGGGACCAGAATTTCTGTTGTTCAGTAGGATGGCTGTTAAGTGAGTTGTGCCCAATTATATGATCTTTTTTGCCATGATTGTTAAGTGAATCATGCAGTTGTTAAGTGAATCCAGCTTCCCCCATTTGTTTTTGGAAACTGGTGGGAAGGTCACAAATTGCAATCACATGACCCTGGAATGCTGCAACAGTTAGAAATACATGTCAATTGCCAAGTGCCCAAATTTTGATCAAGTAACAGTGGGGACGTTGTGATGGTCAGAAGTTGCAAGGATCAGTTGTAAGTCATTTTTTTCAGTGCTGTTATAACTTTGAATGGTCATTAAATGAATGGCTGTAAGCCAAGGACTATCTCTAATATAATCATATATACTTATTCATTCATTCATACATACATACATACTTAGAAATTCCAGTAAGTAGGTATGCAGAGAACTCTGCCAGTCTTATAAATTCTAGACAAGATATAAACAAGAAAAGTCCCCCAGAACTAAGCATCACTACAAAATATTAAAAAATACAGATGGTAGATAGTTGATGGTCCACAATAGGAGGCTGAGCTAGCCTACCAAAAGCTAAGAAAGATTAGATCTTGTACTGATCTGTAGATCTGTATTGTTGCAAGTGTGTGTGTGTGTGTGTGTGTTTGTGCCAATGTTGATTTCTAGTGATTGTGTTGAGACATTGTTCATTTCTGGGCTAGTCTCTGCAGTCTTCTTGGCAAGTGGCTTGAAAATGGTTTGCCACTGCCTTCTTCCTAGGGCTAAGAGAGAGTGAAACTGACATAGCTGGCTTTGTGCCTAAATTGGGACTAGAACTCACAGTCTCCTAGTTTCTAATCTGGTGCCTTAACCACTATGACTATACCAAACTGGTGCTCTCATACAGTACAAGGTACAAACAATCTGTAAAATGCAACGGAAAGGAAATTTATTTACAATTTAAATAAAATGGATATTGTATAAAATGCTAGAATAATAAATATTAACATTGGCATAAATCAAACAGAATTTTAGAATGTCTTCAAAGAACTTAAAAAATATGCTATACTTTCTACAGATAGCCGATTGCAATTGTCATCACTAAGGCAGTTTTTTGAACAATGGATCCATAATGTAACCTTAATAGTATCTGTCTCTGTAGACAAACTGTCCAAACCATGTTATGGAAGAGGAACAAGTTCTACCTTGAAGATGGATTTTAAAATGACAGGCTACAAGAATGTCATGATTAAAAATGTTACATTGGATGTACAAAAGGAACTGGCTAATGTCTTAATATTTAAAAGGGGTATGCTAACAACAAATTGAGAGAGACCTGAATAATTTTCTTACACTGGATTTATAAAATTGTCTTGTCAAAATTTTATGATAAGGGACAAAGAAAAATGAAAAGAAATAAAGTTCTAGCACATTATTTGAAGGGACTAAAGTTACAAGTAAAAGGAATATAAAAAATACCTCTCAGGAATTTTTAGAATATAAACACAACTCTAGGATTTTCAACTCATTATTTGCACACAGTTATTTTTAAAGGGAAGAAAGCTATTTGTGAATTTTACCCAAACATTCAAAGGTAAAAGCCCATAAGAACACCAATCATAAGCAAGTTTTCTGTTCTTTTTTTTTAAATTCTAGGACTGCAAATACTTACAAAGAGATGCTTTGATACATGCAGATATATCTTTTTCCAAGCTCATACAGTAGCCCTGGAAGCTGTTTCTGACTGCCTGGACAGACACAGTTAGGAGCAACTTCCAAAGCAGCTGCACAAGCCTGGAAAAAGATGCAACTGCTTTAGCAATTCAAGGAGATGGGTCTCATATACGCCCTAAGTATTTTTTCTGAAGCACTTGCACAATCCTACAAAGCACTCTCACTGAACCAGTTGCTTTTAAATCATTATCTGTACACAATCCAAGTCCCTGCAAATCTTGGTTTCAATCTTCTTTAACCTGGTACCTCTAGACTAGGTGGAAGTTCCATAATCGCCATTGCAGCTAATGATTATGAGAAATGATTCAACACATTTCAAGGGCACCAATTTGGAAAAGCTAGTATAATTTTTAATTCAAGTACTCTTGAAATTAATTACCAAAGGGGATACCACAATAAATGTATAAGAAATCACAATAAGAGTCATCCAGCAATTTGAAAATGAAACAAACTGTAGCCAAATGTGAGCTTATATAATAAAGATTCCAGAAGACTGCCAAAGTCTAATGCTAAAGTTGATAGTTAGGCATGTTTTGAAATAATAAACAAAGTATTTAAGTTTCATATTGCAGTATCAATGAGTGTTAGATTGTATAATTTTAGTTTCATAATTTAATATTGCATTAATAACTAGGTATAATTTAGTCTGAAAAGACCAGACCAAAGTAAGTTACAGACAACAACATTAAAATCTTGAGATGCCTTAAAGACTACAACACATTATACTTAAAGCTGTAATAGATTTGTTTCTCTAAGGCACTCCCATTAATCTTTCCTTTTATTTGGAACCAAATATAAAAGCTCCCTTTTGAAATTATAATCTAAAAGTTTTCAATTAAATTAAATGATGGGAGCGTTCCTCACCAATGGTATACAGACTTTAAAATCTTATGCTCATAATTTATCGTAATTGATACATACACTATAACACAGAATAGCTGTGTATTTATGCGTGCATATGTTTGTATATATCAAGTCACTGGTAGGTCTTAAAATTTGAAATGTCAAAACCCTCTGGATTATAATATGGTGCCATCTAGTGTTTACAGAAATTGTGTTACTATTTCTGGGGGAAAAAATAAAACAGCTTTTTCTAATATGGTACTTCAAAATATACTAGATTTTAAGTATCATAATTTCCCAGTCTTTGGCCTTATTCATTAGAGCACTATGCACTGTGGAAAGGGTAAATCACCAAATAAATTAGGATGAATTAAAGTATTTAAAAAGTATATAAAATATTCCATTTATTTAACTCCACAATTATTCTAGGAAATTCACACTAAAATCTGATGACAACATCACACTGAAGTGTAATATAGCTTGTTTAGTTTGATAGTTTGGCTTTAGCAATTGGCTAAACTCAGAAAAGTATGGTTTAGGGAGGCATAGTGGCACAAGGATTAGAACACAGTCACACAAGGCTGACTTTGCTCACTGCCAGGAGTTTGATTCTGACCAGCTCAAGGTTTATTCAGTCTTCCATCCTTCTGAGATCAATAAAATGAGGACCAAGATTGTTGCAGGCAATATGCTGTAAACCACTTAGAGCAGTGGTTCTCAACCTTCCTAATGCCGCAACCCTTTAATACAGTTCCTCATGTTGTGGTGACCCCAACCATAAAATTATTTTCGTTGCTACTTCATAACTGTAATTTTGCTCTCCCTCTCTCTCTCCCTCCTATTTCTCTCTCCCTCTTTCTTTCTCTCTCCCTCTCTCCCCTTCTTTCTCTCTCCCTCTCTCCCTTTCTTTCTCTCTCCCTTTCTCTTTCCCTCTTTCTCTATTTCTCTCCCTTTCTCCCTTTTTCTCTCCCTCTCTCTCCCTCCCTCTCTCCCCCTCTCTCTCCCTATTTCTCTCTCTCCCTTTCTTTCTCTCTCCCTTTCTCCCTTTCTTTCTCTCTCCCTGTCACTCTCTTTCTCTCTCCCCCTCTCTCTTTCTCTCTCTCTCCCTCTCTCTATTTCTCTCTCCCTGTCTTCCTCTCAAAGATCCTTAAAATCCTTAAAAGTTATGCTTGGGTGGAAGACTTTTTCTTTTACAGATGGGGTGGGTTGGCAGACAAGTACTCAAAAAAAAAAAGGAAAAAAAAAAAGTGTGAATAGGCATCCAGTAGCTAGCTTGAAGTTTGAACGACTTCTTTCTTTTGCCACCATCTTCTAGGAGGAGCAAAAGACATCCAGCACTGCAACCAGGTGCCCTGGACTGGCCATTCCAGGGCTTCCTGCACCGGCTGACTTAGTTGTCTGCAACCTCCTGTTGTCACTTGAGGGGGGGGGAAGGGACACGGGCGGGAAAGATTTCTTCTTCCTCATCTGAGGAGGGAAGTTATGTTGGACCGTCGACTCCGTGTTGACCCCCGTGGGCCCGACATTCACGGGCAGGCGGGAATCCGCCCACCGAGCCATCACCTCCCCATCGCCCTCCACGCCAGCCAGCTCCGGCACCAGACCTCCCAGCTGACAAGCGCACATCCAGGGGGTCGCCAGCTGACGGGCGCAGAAGATCGGCACCGCGGCGGCCTCCCAGCCACCCACTTCTTCGGCTGGAGCAATTGCCAGGGCTTGCATGGTCGCCGGCGGCGGGGAGCGCGTCAGCGGCCATTGGGGACGCCAGCGGTTCTGTGCCACGGAGGCTTGAGGCGCGGGATGCGGAGCGGTGCAGTACCTTGGGAGGCGGCAGGACGGGGGAGGGGTTACCTGCATCCTGCCGGCCGAACTCTGGAAGGCTGCCTGAATGAAGAATTTTAGGGGGAGTTGAAAGCGAGACAGGTTCCTAAGACCATCGGAAATATGTGTTTTCTGATGGTTTTAGGTGACCCCTGTGAAAGGGTCGTTCGACCCCCAAAGGGGTCACGACCCACAGGTTGAGAACCGCTGACTTAGAGTGTGCTGTAAAGCAGGGCTTTTCAACCAGTGGTACGGGTACCACTTGTGGTACATTGGCACCTGACAGGTGGTACGCGACCATCCTAGAAAAGTGGTAGCGGGGGAGGGGAATGAGCTGAACCGGTGGCAGCACCGCACAAGCCTGAGCGAGAGATGGATGGAGCTGCAGGGATGTCAGGGCTCAGCGGAAGAGCCAGGATCAGCGCCAGGCTCCAGCTGGAGCTTGGCGCTGATCCTGGCGCTTCTGCAAAGCCCAGAAGAAGCGGCAATCAGCTGGAATGTTGCAGCATCTCCAGGGTCCTGTGATTTACATTCAGATGCTTGGCAACTGATTCATATTTATGACGGTCACAGTGTCCCAGGGTCATGTGAAGTCACCAAAACCTGCTGCAACCACCCAGCAGACGGGGGGGGGAATAAAAACCAAACACCCCCCACCCCACCCCCGCTGCCAATCCTCAAGAGAAATGCTCACAACAATGAAAACCTCGGACAGGAGGAAGAGTGCCACCAGGTGGGCAGGCAGGTGTCTTGCTTGGCTGTGGCTTGGGGGGCACTTTTTCAGTGCCATTGTAACTTTGAACAGTCACTAAGCGAACTGTTGTAAGTTGAGGACTACCTGTACTTTATCACTTTTTTCCTTTTTTTTTTGGTCAAGTTTTTGACACCTTGCTAGGCGACTGGTGGTACTCGGATATTACCATATCCTAAAAGTGGTAGAATGGGTGAAAAGGTTGAAAAGCCCTGCTGTAAAGCACTATGAAGTCTAAATGCTATTGCTGCTATGCTCTTAATCATTGGTTATTTTTGGTGAGAAAGACTGTACTTAAAGATATATTACCAACCCCAATAAAAAGGGTACATGAAATACCTTCTAAATCACTCTAAGCATCATGTTTCAAGAACTCCTGCATACAGTTCACAATAAAGTTGATTACTGGTGGGACTTCCGGTGGCAGGCGATTTCGTCGGTCGCAGCTGTTTGCTGCCTCCCGCCTGTTTTGCGTAAAAGCCGGTTTGACAGCCAGCACCAGCTGTCAAACGGCTTGATACCTTTCCCCTGGGCATAAGGGGATAGGTGAGCTGCCCGGGGTAGGAGTTGAGTTCCCGAGTCGTCCTATATGGACGATGTAGGTGAGA